ACTACAAAGCAAACACTTGCAAATTCATTAGTCCAATTTGGTTGTGTTGGTCATCAAACACCAAAATCCAAAGTAAATAGGCTTAGGGTCTATTTTCCTTACACTCGCCATGCGCAGTCACAACCACGGCGCCATCGCGACATGGCCACTAGAGTCATAGTAGGGAAAGTCGTGCAGGCGCCCGCTAGGTCGTCGAACGCAGCAGCAGTGCAGGTGCGGTGCTGTGGCGGCGGCGAAGGCGATGGAGCTTCTCGTCGCTCACAGCGCCCCTTTTCGATTGGTCTAGGGTTAGGAACTCTGGGGTGGGGCTAGCGGCTACCGATGACCTCATGTCTTGTGCCCTAGCCCTCATCGTCCTTTTATGGCGCTACGCGACGGGGGCCATCAGAGAACCCGCTGAGCGCTCCCGATCAGAGCGCGGATCAAGGACACAATTGACCATTGGGCTAACTGGTGGAGATCATCCTAGCATCCCGTTGAGGGGAGACCTGCAAGAGCGCGAAGTCAAGCGGCGCATCGACCACCATGGCGGTCCCCACCACTGTTGCTGCCGCCGCGCGAGCTCGGATCTGGCGGATTGCAGACACGAGCTCCTCTCCCACCACAACCTCCCAAGGAACGCCTGAACGGCCCCGTGGGGCACCAATGTAGCTCCCACAGCGACAAGAACGGGATTTGCAGCGTCGACAGCGTCTGCCGGACCAAATTGCAGCGGCCCAGTTTTCGCCGGCACACGACCGAATCCGATGAGCACACATGCGTCCGTACTACTGGGGAAGAGCGGAGTGGAGGAAGAGAGGACTATATCGAGAGCACCACTCCGAGTTTGGGAGTGGACTCTACTCCCGTGTCCCCTCACTGCCGGATCGAGCGCCCCCTTGCCGACTGCATCGCAGCACCCAGGAAGGATCGGGCTTGCAGCTGTACAGTGATGCGCGAGCGGATGGGGAATGGAACAGGAAGGAGTGGGATCGCAGAGGTGAGTGGCAGCGGCGACGGGGAACGAGCGGACGGGAGCTGTGCGGAAGGGAGAAAAGGTATCCGTGAACGAGTGGCCACGCAGCTTCTGGAGACTCCGTCATTTTTTTCCCTGATTTTTTTCTTTTCTTTTCTTGTGAGGAAATTGTTTTTTACTTGCTCGGTCCTATGCGCTGGTAACTTGTCGCTGGTAGTGGCTCACTTGTTAGGTGTATTATCTATTTGTCTATACACTTTCGTTTATGTATTTGATTTGTCATTCGTGGCATGTACTTCCGGCTTAAAATCACACTTGCCGTTCGTTTTCGTCTATTTTTCGATCTTATTTACTCATATTACTGTTTATCTCGCTACTGTTTTCGTTCCTGGCTGTTCGGCTCCTGCTCCTGTTTCCATTAAAAAATATGGAAACAAAAACGATAGAGCTATTTTCTGTTCGTTTCCATCCGTTTTCATCCTTACCGCAGTGGCCACGCTAAAGCAGCGGCGTCAACCGCGTAGATTGGAGGAAGAGGAAGAGGACGGCGGACGGAGGAGGCAGCATCGCCGTCGCACGTGTGGGGTGTGGGCATGCGGGGTGTTGAGTTTGTGTTTTAGGCCATTGGGCCTAGATGGACTGAGTCTAAGCTGAGCGCGCCTATCCCGAATAGAAACAAAAACGGGATGAAAACGGTATATCTAGGTCGAAAACGGGATACCGGTAATACGGACGAACAAATGCTCAACCATTTTTGGTCCTGATCCCGGTGCACCCCGTAACGTATTAGGTTCCATTTTCGTATTTTTCCGAAAAAACAAAAACGGATGGGATAAAACGGAATACGATTGTGGATGAAACGGGATTCATCCCGTCCGTTTTCATCCTTACTCACCGGTGGCAGCTGCTGAAGTGCTGAGGATAATTTTGGAGGTTTGGTTAGAGTACCTGTGATTGTGGATTATGCGTAGTTTGGTCTTTTCTCATTTTATCCTAAAAATATTACATTTCTAAAAATGTTAATTCAAAAATATTATGAAGCATCACATGGACCTGCTTCCGTGTAAGCGCATTTTTATAATTATTATCGTGCTATATTATATTATTTTACTTGTTGTTCTTCTAAATCCTGACTCTTGATATCCTTCTCTTCAAAAAAAAATGTGTGCTTTAATGTCGGTATTTAATTTCACAATATTGTTATTTTATCATGTGATCCGTATGCTTTCAGTAGTAAAAGTTAGTTGTCCCATAACAACGTACAAACATGCTATCTATACATACAATGTTTATCACAATCATCACTTTTCATCTCCAAGATCATAGACAAACATGTCAGTGCAAATATTCCTGTTCTTCAACTCCTCTTAACATGCAGGTGAACGAGAACTCTGAGAATACTGGAAAGCGATAGGATACAGCATGCACGAGCCACGGGAGGATGCGAGTCGGACGGAGGCGACACCGTCGCCACCCCGGCCTCTCGACGTCGGCGTCGTGGAGAACCGGGTGCTGAACGACAACGTGCTGCTCGATGGGTACAGGAAGTAAGACAGGACTTCCTCGCAGCTTAATCATTAGCACACGAAGTAAAGGAAGGCTCGGCCTTTGATTTGTGATATACATATTAAATTCGCTCCTTGTATATGAGATGAATGTATGTTTAAAATCGTATTTTTGTGTGACTTTATTTATGTGAGACTAAAATTATAGTGAATTTATGAACAATTTATGTGTCAACCTATGGTTAATTGCAATGCATTTGTGCAATTTTTTATGTATTTGATAAGCTCACTTTATTACAACGTATTTGTGTACTTGATTATGTGTTTTATTATGTACTGTTATATGTGAACTTATTTGCGTAATATTACTCCAAAATTACAACAGACAAACAAAACTCTGTATTTTATTTTTGTCCCGCCAGGGATATAATGATCATTTTATCATGGACTTAACACCGTCAAGTGTCAAAAACGGACGGAAGACCATAAAAGGAAGGAAATTTTATTTTGAGGTCGTACAGGTAAGTTCAAGAAAAAAGAACCCTACAAGAAAGATGTATTTTTTTCAGGGTCATATTGATAAAAAAACTCTACATATATTGTTGGGGCGACAGCGGACTGCCGTCACTAATAATCAATTAATCATTAACATTGCATCTAACAAGACGGATGATGAACGGAAAGTGGCTTAATGGCCCTTTGGGATGATTCGTGCCTGTTTGTTTCCGAAACGATAGAGGCACTTCTCGCTTTTCTTGTACGATAAGCTGTTCTTAAAGTGTCCCACAAATGCATAAAGGATTGAGTATTTCTTGCCTTCGCACACATTTTCCTCTTGGAGGACATCTTTTTTTTTTTTACAACACATGGAGGACATCTTTATATTGATAATATATTTATTGGGTTCAACTATGTAGAGCCCAGGCCCGTGGTCTGTGCAGTGAACAAGGCTTTATGCTGGCACTTGGGCCAGCCTACAACCATGTACTCATCTAGGCCCGCTACACAGTCCATTCAGTTAGCTTTCTGAAAATGGATGAAAAACCAAACTTAATGTAAATACAATCATCCAACCTGTTTTATAAAGAATTTTTTTTGGGGAAACCGTGCTTCATTCGTTTAACAGTAAACTGTAGTGAACCGTATTACTTTTTAATTCCTTTTTAATCAGGGAGCAGACTGGGAGCACCGTCGGCACATGGCACAAATGAATTAATATACAACTTTTCGAAATATAAAAATACACAATTTTTTTATGCATGTGTCAAAACCGATTGGGACATGCCGAGGGATGACTTAGCATATGGCCAGCAGAAAAATCTTAGGGGGACGAAGGAAGTTTGTGTGGATGAGTATACTTAACTCGTATCTCAGTTGAAACTTCAAAGAATTGAGAACTGCTTCAGGCTGTTCAGACAGAGATATCGCCGTTTCAAAGTGGAAGTTGAACTTTTAGTTTGGCTAGTTGCCATAATAATGGGATAAACAATAAGTAGTGTAAATTCGACAAGCATACACGATAGTTTATGTTTCATGATGGCAAACACGGAAATAGGCCACTTTGCAACGGTAAATTTGAAGTGCTTTTCCCATTCAAAAAATTACCAGGGAGCAGTCAGCTCTGCTGGGAGACCCTAATACAAATTTTTCAGAAAAAGGACCTGCAGTTTCATATGTCCGACATAGAAAATTTCAGCAATCTAGCAGCATAGACAGAAAAAGATCATGTTGATCAGACAACATAAATTTATTATCATACGTTGACCTAACACACTAATAATTAACAAGTGAAATAGAGCGTTCAGAATACAACAAAGATGATCATTCTGGATGCTTGTACAAAACAGTAATTAATAAGAGAATATAAGAAGGTCCTGGAGTAAATCAGTGGCTAGATAAACATAATTTATCGTGGCAAACTAGCAGACGACAGAAACTCTTGCTCCAAGCTATAGCAACCTGAAGATGCTGCATTGGCTCTATTATTTCCATCAGTTGGCAAAGATTGATAGTGATGTGTTGCAAGTCTTATAGGTACTGGTGGCTGTATCTCGTAACTGCTTTCTGTACTACCATTGCCTGATCTCAAACCTTTATTTCTCAAAAGTTGTAATTTCATCTCCACTTGCTTCATAGTAGGTCTTTCTTCACCCCGGAGCCTCAGGCACTCCTCAGCAAGAGAGGCAACTGTGGTAACCTCATCCTCAGAAGCTTGCTCAAGAACTTGAGGGGCAACAATTTCAGTGATTGGCCTTGATCTCATCTCCAAAAGGAAGTGATTTGACAAGTTTTCTTTGATCCAGAATCACTCGTAAAGATAGGCTCCTTTCTTAGAAGCAACTCTAAAAGAACAACACCAAAACTATAGACATCACTCTTCTCATTCAATTGCCCAGTATGGTAATACTCTGGATCTAGGTACCCAAATGTGCCTTGTACATTTGTAACAACATGGGTTTGATCGATTGGAATTAATCTTGAAGCGCCAAAATCTGAAACTTTTGCAGTATAGCTTCCATCCAACAGTATATTAGAAGATTTCACATCACGATGAAAACCGATACTGATGCTGCAGAATGGAGGTAACAGAGAGCGCCAGCAGCTTCTGTAGCAATCCTTAAGCAATCATCCCATGACAATGAGAATTCATTATTACTCTGATGGCCATCATGTATAATCTTATATAGTGAACCATTAGGGATGAAATCATACACCAGTAGAGGGACCTCAGTTTCAAGACAACATCCAAGAAGTTTTACGATATTACGGTGATTTATCTGAGAGAGAATTGCAACTTCATTGATGAACTGATTAATCTCTCCTTCGTTGATGACCTTAGGCTTTTTTATGGCCACCACACGTTGGTCTGACAAGATGCCTTTGTAGACCATACCATGTCCTCCACTACCTAGAATACGTGTGGGATCAAAGTTGTTTGTTGACTTTTGCAACTCCTCCAAGGAGAAAATTTTGTTATCACTTTGGTTTTCATCTGAGGATATTAGTTGCTCCAAAAGAAGACCTTTGTTTTGCCGAAAATATTTCTTTTTCAATTGCCTCTGGATATTTCTTCTCCATCTACGGATAAGGAAAACCCCACTTAAACAAAGAAGTAGAATTCCAAGGCCAACACTTAGGCCAATAGCAATACCTACAGACAAAAAAATATATAGCTTGTAAGTTCTCTCCTCCCTTTTTTTTTACCAAACTATAGTAGTTTAATTTGTTTCAATTCCAAATTAATCCATTGTACACATAAAAATGCGCTACCTAAGAGAAGGTTTTGGTGCTTTCTGGTACAACGCCTTAGCACTGGATCATACCCTGTACCGTAAGGGCATTGAATGCATGTATAGTTTCCAGCGGTATTGTTGCACATCTCGGGACAAATATTTGGTTGAAGGCACTCGTCGATATCTGCGAACAAAAGATGCAGTTAAACCCATTTCAGCATCTCAATTAAAAATTTGATTTACCCCAGACCAAAAATGAATAAGGTTCTGATCTGAATAGTCCTAGCCACAAAACTGAATAAGATGTTTAATTGCCTAAAGTCTTATAATTTGGATCGAAGAGAATAGCAATTAGTAATTGACTTTAGGCAAGTCTGGAAAAATGAATAAGATGCGCAACAAAACTTTCCGAGACTTGCCTAAAGTCAATTACTAATTGCTACTCTCTTCGATCCAAATTATAAGACGTTTTGGCTTTTTTAATATAGTTTTTATTATGTATTAAACAGTGTATATCTAAATGCATAGCAAATGCTACGTATCTAGAAAAAACCAAATCGTTCAGAATTAATAATTTGTTTGGGAACCACGCCTCTGAATTGGAAAATCAGTATATCTCTTTAAACAAGTCTCAAAATAGTATTAGGCACATATATGAGTAATAAAGTTTTGCTCTAGATGGATTAAAGTTTATTAGCTCAAAAATAGTTTATCTAATTTCAAAAAATGTAGATAAATTCATATACTTTATTTTGAAATAATCACAGCACGAGTGACAGTCTTTAAAACTACAAAAATATTTTATCAATTTTTAAATATGCAAAAGCTTCTTTAGCCTACATCAACAATCGCCCTAAGTGACTAAGTGAGAGCAAAGGTTGAAAAGGTAACGATTTATTTAATAGTTAGAGGTTAAAAGGTTCACATGAGCACAAAGATTGAAGTGAATATATAATCCAATCTCATAGAGGACATGCATACCGATACAACCGCCTTTGACGTATGGATTTCCGTGATATCCACGTGCGCATTTGCATCTGTAACCAAAGTAGCCACCGGTATGTTGGATCGTTATACATTCACTTTCTGCACACGCATACTCGGACTGGTTTTGTTTTGCCTCTTGGCAGGTTAATTGGGCAGCAACCCATTGCACAGAAACGGTGGTGGCATTCCCAGAACTAAGGTAAAGACTTCGCAGATTTTGTTCTTGTCCGTCCCATGTACGGATACCACAAGTTTCAGGATTATTTCTCTCGTCCGGGCTAATGTACTCGATAAGCCCGTCTTCAACATTTATATTAGTCACGTGATACTGCCATATAGAGTCCAAAAGGAGAGTGGATGGTGCCGTGTCGTTGCATTTCAGATGAAATTCTTCTCTTGCAAAGCAGCCTTCTTCCAAGCCAAATGGAAATGGAACGTCTATACTCCCACATCTGCGAGTACAGTTGCTCTTTTGTTGAGATGGATTATAACCTGAGACCAATATATGAGATGAAAGGTGATAAATACCATATATACGTATCAACAGAAATTTTTGTTTTTGTGATTGAGTAACACCAGTTCTCATATGTTCTTATAGGTTATTCCATTTCATTGTACCTACTTTATTTGATTAATTACTAGTAGCAGAATGCTTGTGCATTGCTAGGTTTAACTTTAATTACGTTACTGTGTTCTGAAGCACACAGAGTATTTATTTCTGACATTATATTTTTGTTGTGCTCCATATAGATCTCAACATGTTTGCAAGGAAAACCAGGAATTTCAACTTAATATTATATTTCCTTCTACTCAAGTACTCATTACATCTCTACCTTCCTTATTAGCAAGAAATTACTAGAGACAAATAATTACAATTACATTCTTCCATAATGCAGCATCGTCTTTAATTCTAATCTACGATCCAGCGAGGAGCTCGGTATGTAACACTCTTATCGTGGTCATCCTGCAGTTAGATGACGTTATCGAGCTCATTGTCATCCATGACTACTATTGATAGTCAGAATGTGATTGGGTGAGTTAAAAGATGGATTGAAAAATCTCGCAAAACAAAAAGGTTGAATTTGAACCAAATTTGGACTAAATGGGCAAAATGTTATAAAAACTGGCCTAGTCTGCTTTTCTCACCTTGCCTGCATGGCCTTGTACAAACCGGCCTATGCCAGTTTTGGAAACTAGCCTAAGACGTACGGTTTTAGTCTGAGACCCAAATCTACTACACTACCCTACTTCTCCCATCTACTATGGCTCCTCATTCTTCGTTGTTGTTGATGGCCGGTGGTTCAACGATGATAAAGTTCTAGAGTGGTTAGGTCAGCTAGGGCATCCCATAGCCACCATATGCCCTAACGAGGTCATTCCCGAGCTGTTGAGTTTCGAGTTTCAAGAGACCTCGATCTCATGGAAAACTTATGTATTATGTTTGGTAAAGGTTTCAGATTGGGATAAGATCACACCTCTATATATATCTGAGGATCACGGCCGATTGAGGTTAATCACACACAATCGATCAAAAATCAATCTATTACTACTTTCTTCAACCTTTACCTCATCTAACCCCCTGTTGTCTAGTGCATTGTATGTTCAATAAGCTACTAAGGCCCAACTGATTAGTATCAACATTATACAATTATGTTACCGTCGGTTATAAGCGTCGTTGAAAAAATTGTATCACCGCCGCTATTCGCCGTTTGGTGCTAACATCTTCTTGTTGTAACCTAAAAAAAATAATGTTTATAATATTTTGTTCCTTTCCAATGTTCAATTTTCGTATGACACGCCCACCGTTAGGTGCTACGTACCATCTTCTTTAAGACCCAATCACCACCGCCGGTAGCCTTCACCGCTGATATCGTCAAAATTTGCAAGCCAGCGCGAGACTCCCACGTGTTTTTAGAACTTTTGGCGCGTTTGTAGTTAGCTTACAAAGACCACTACCCACCCAGCCGCCACCCTGTCCGTATCCTCCTCAAGTGTTGCTATTACTCACCTACTCATCGGCGTGCAAGCCGACACTCACCGCCGACAAGCTAGTGCTCCGCGTCGGTACGCGTCACCGGCACGCCCGCACAGATCCACCGGTGACCAGGCTGGTACTCATCACCGCCATGGCCGCTCGAGCTCATTGCCGCAAGATCCAAAGGCAAGGGTAATGCTTTCTCGCACTTCCCTTATCCATGTTTCTTAGCTTTTTATTCCCCTCTTATCTCATCTGAGTACGAATCAAGCTTCTATTTGATCATTAAGGAGCTCACAAGCACATCCCCGTAGGTGCTCCTACTATGATTCAGGCAACAGCGCTGCCGCTTCCATCACTGGCCCCGCTCCACCACATCCTAGTCAAGATGGAGGAGGAGGCTACCAACAAGAGGAACGAAGTAGACATCCTCATAGACGATGTCTTGGTCCTTATCCTTCGCCGCCTCACTGCTCGCACCTTGTGCAGCTGCAAGTGTGTGTGTCGCTCCTGGTACCGCCTCATCTCCGAATCTAAGCACCGTAAGGAGCTGCCCCAGTTTGTCGCTGGATTCATGTATGGCAACTAGAAAGACAAACGCCGATTCGCTAGCTTCACCGGTGAATACCCCTCCATTTCCTTCTTACTGTTCCCCATTTATGATTTAGTCATCTCAGATTACTACAGAGGCCACTTCATCTGCTAGTGCGTTGGGCTTCGCTATTTTGTCTGCAATCCGGTGACTACCAAATCAGTGGTACTGCCGCATAGCAACCTTTGTTATGGTTCAGCTCGCTTGGGGTTCGATCCCACAATCTCCTCGCACTTCCATGTGGTAGAACTATGGGTAAGGTCGCCTGGGGTGTTAGTTGTCAGCATCTACTCATCCAAAACTAGAGCATGGATGTGTAAATAATCTGAATGGGGAGAGTATATTGTAGTATGCAAATTTTCAGGAACTGTGTTTCTTAATGGTTTTATGCACATGCTGGAGGTGTCCCACATAGTTGCTGTTGATATGGAGGAAAAGACATGGAGGAAAATTCTTAGGCCACCAGATCCGGCAATGTCCATCCATGGAGATCAGGGTCAGTTGTGTCTATGTATTTGTCGACAGAATATCGTCGGCAGTCCTCCGAGGGGTATCCCACGAAGATAGATTGATCGACAGAGATGCGTGTAATCGAGAACAAGAAAGCAACAGAGACACATGAGTTAGACAGGTTCGGGCCGTCAGCACGACGTAATACCCTACTCCTGTGGTCTGTTGGATTGTATTGGCTATCGTATGATATTGCCTGTGTTTGGAGGGGTCCCTGTCCGCCTTATATAGTCCAGGGGGTAGGGTTACAAGTCGGTTAGATCTAGGAGATAACCGGAAAGTAATAATAGATTACAGGAATCATGGGATCATATGTATCCTAACAGATCTCGTAGCATCTTTAGGATATCTTCCCGGTGTCTTACGGGACGTGCCAAGGAGTGCCGTGCCCCGCAAGGCTTCGTCTTGTGGGCTGGGCCACCCCTGGGGGCGCAGCCCATGGGGTCTGCCATGGGTATCCGGGGTTGTACCCCCCACAGCTAGTCCCCGAGCGCCTTGTATCCATTGTGCAACACCATCTTGAGCTTGTTCGAGCAGGTGTGAACAAGGCCAAGCAGTCAAACTCATGGTCTGACCACCGTGATGAGTTGTCGAAAGCGATTGTGAACCATCGTCGAAAGCGGTGTGAACCGTCGCCGAGCAGAAAATTGTGAACCATCGCCGGCGGTGTGAACCATCGCCGAGCAACAGTGAACTGTCACCGAGCAATGTGAACCATCGCCGAAAGCAGCAGTGAACCATCGCCGAAAGCAAAGTGTGAACCTTCACGAGCAAAGGTGAACCATCACCGAGCAAAGTGTATCCCAAGTAAGGCTTGACATAAGGATGTAAGGAGCTCAAGTTCAAAATCAAAATTCTTTACTACAAATGGACCAAGTGTGACCACTTAGAGTCCGACCACGAGAAAGGGAGATAGTCTTCTTCAACTTTAGGAGGAGCGGAGTCTTCCAGATTAAAGCAAACACACTCACCGCTAGGTGAAGTGTGCCCACTTAGTCCCCAAGCCCCGACAAGAGGTGACGTAGTCACGTGGTGCCAGGGTCCAAAGTAGAAGAAAAGCAGAAGACCAGCTGAGCAGGCAGCCAGTCCCCGGGCGTAGCCCCGAGATGAGAAAAGCACATTCACCGCAAGGTGAAGTGTGCCCACTTAGTCCCCGAGCCTTACAGTAGGGTGACATAGTCACGTGGTGCCGTGGTCGAAACAAAAAGTCAACGTAAGAAAGTCCCTAGTGCGATGAGGAACCAAGTCGATATTCGACGCAATCCCCCGAGCCGCAAGTGGAAATCTTGGTGAAAACAAATCGTGGAGAAAAAACCAGAGTAATGGTTGTATAGTAGTAATTACTGAGCCGTAACAAGTGGCGGAGAAGTCGGCGAATATTCGGTGAGCAGTAACAAATTGCAGCGATAAATGGGCGATACGGGCTGCGAGATTCTTGCCGAAAGCCGTGTAACGCCCACCATGTTGTTTTAGAGAATTGGAGAGGCACAAATCGTGGAGCGGTTTCCCAAAAACCCTCGAATGCGAAAAGGTGGGGAGTGCATTATAATCTGCGCCATCGCTCCCCACGCTCCCACCTTTGCCACTTTGCCATTTCATCTTCCTCCTCACCCCTCGCACTTCTAGATTCATACGCGCTTCCACCGCCAATCCCAAACCAGATCTGAGAGATGGCGCCGAAGAGGGGAGTTAGAAACCCAAAGAAGGCGGCCACCAAAGCCAGCCATGACAATGAGTGGGTGCCGTTGAACATAGGGGAGGCGAGAGATCAATAGGATGGTGGAGGCGGGCGTCCTTCGATCATGTCACCACCGGATGGCAGCCAGCCAGCGGTGAGCCTTTCCCAATGCCGCATACTGACGAAGTAGTAGTTTTTAAGGATTATTTCTAGCGCGGGTTAGGATTTCCCATTCATCCTTTCTTGAGGGACCTGTTGGAGTTCTGGAGAGTTAGTCTGTGTAATCTCCACCCAAACACTATCTTGCACATCTCGATTTTTATCCACTTCTATGAGGCATTTCTCGGAGTTCTTCCCCACTTCAACCTCTTCCATCATCTGTTCTGGCTGAAGAAGAAGGGTGGCAACAGATCCAAGGTGGTCGATGGCATTTATCTTCAGCTACGCGATGGAATGGCGGGCGAGTACATCACTGTATTGCTAAACACCTCGCTGAAGGGGTGGAACGACAGGTGGTTCTACATGAAGCAGAGCCACTCACCATCTGCTGCGACATCAACCATGTTCCAGAGAACCAGAGGAGCTGGTCGGAGAGGCTGAGCAGTGCTGACATGGAGTAGGTGAGGGAGCTCCTTGGCCTAATAAAGGATGTGAGGATGAATGGCGGATTGGTGGTGGCGAGCTTCATAGTGCGCCGTGTCTAGCCCTGCATGGAGAGGGCCCACACGGGCTTTGAC